GCCTATGGGCTCCTCAACCGTGCCAGGATTCGAGATGCTGCAGACTTCACGCAAGTGCCTTCGTCAGCGCTGGCTACAACAAAACATCAGAGATTGTGTGGATTAGACAACAACTTATCTCTCACAGTTCTGGAGCCCAAAACGTCCATGGTCAAGGTGCTCACAGGCTTCTGTGCTCACCTGCCCTGGGGGCGTTGAGGGTGCCTGGTGGAAGCACCCTGCACCTTCACTGTGCCTACTCTGGTGTGCTATGCACTGGGAGAGAAAAAGAGGCCTGGTGTCTACTCCTCTCTTAGGTGAGCATGAATACTCTCATGGGGACTTAGCCTGATGACCATACCAAAAAGCCTCCTCTGCCTCACACCATGACACTGGGCACTAGGGCTTCAACAAATGCACTGGGGAGGGACACAACAGCAGCCCAGGGCACCGCGGTCTGCATTTTCTATAGTTCCCAAATGGGGCCTTTCTTTTTCCTTAAGGACTGAGCTATTTGATGACTGTTTACTTACACCCAAGGGGCAGTGCTTGGACTTACCACCTGCATTCGGACTTACAGAGAAGGGACGTGAGCACCCGCCTTCTGGTGGCTTCTTCTACAGGGCAGTGCTGTAATTTTGCTGACTGTACTGTCCAGTACAGCACTGTGGTTTTATGTTCTGTTATACATTACAGTGCTGCGTGTAAGGGCTATGCAAATAAAGGCAAGGTCCTCACATCGGAGTTTCCTTTGACCATTTCTTTGTTCTGCATTGTACTGCACCTGCTATGTACAATTCCTCACTTAGGGACCAGTTCATTTAACGACCTGGTTGTAGGAACTGAATGCCCAAGTTAAGGTCCCAGGGGCCAACGGAGTGCATACAGGCAGGGACTCTGTAGAGCCGTCGTCTTGGAGGCCTAAATCTTCTGAAGTTAGTTCTATTCTACTTAGTCTTCATTGAGACCGAAGATGAACGGCCCGCCTTTCCTTAGGAGTCAGCTGCGGGCCAGAGAAGCACAGCTCAGCACAGTGCTGAGTCATTTCTTACCTAGACTTTCTTACCCAGAATTCAAACAGACACACTTTATCCATCCACTCCCCTTCCTATTCTCATCTCCCTGCAGCTGATGTTTTCTGTCAGTGTCTCCTGCCTGTTTTCCCTGACTCTTGAATTCTAGTTATGACCAGTTATTCAACAAGGTGCAAGGTATTCTTAAGGTTTCTTTGAAGATGACAAATTGAAAGTAATACATTTCCGATTAATAAGTCTCTATTCTTTCTGTGTAAGACAGGCATTAAAATGGAAAAGCCAGAACGTGGAATGAGAAGTCCTAGATGTTACAATGTTGCTAATCAAGGAAGAAGCCCAGGATGGATATCACGGGCAGGTCTGACATGGTACGGTTTATGCCTTTCAAATGTCCTCCAGATTTCACATCGAAAGCCTGTGATTCATTTTGATAAGTGATGACTCGAATTATTAAGCGGAAACTAAAAAAAGCAAACCTGAGCAGGCCCGACTGGGAGGCAGCCGGCTGGAGCAGCGTGAGTGGCTTCTCCTCTCAGTTGACGCCTTCCGGGCCTTAGCACTGCGCGTTTCTCCTGGAAGATGGATCTGGCTTCAATCTGTGTTTCTTCAATTTTTATCAGCGCTGGCCTAGATTTCCCAAGCTGAGCTAAAATGGAAATATTCTTTCCCCCTCTTTAACCCATCTGTTTCCTTTTATTTACATAATATAACATCTTTTTCCCTGAAGAATTCTGAGGGTTTTTTTTTTTTCAGAGGCAAAATGGGAGTAAAATAAATGGAAACTTTTTCCTCACAAAGGGAAATTCACCCACAGCAAGGCCTCACTACCACAACCGGATTCAGCAAAAATTAGTATGAAGCCACTCTATCAAGCAACAAGGCCAGAATCCTGTTTAGTTTGCCAGGTAACTCAGAGACTCCTCAAGAGAGAGCGAGAGGACATTTCTGCTCACCTGCTGATGTTGGGGCTTTCTTCCCAAGTGAGGAAACCCACCTGGGTCATGACTTAGCGAAGTACCAGCTGGGGAGAGATTACAATTCCCAAGACTCGGTCACTGTTCCTGCTGCCCACAGATCAATCCAGCAACTTCCGGTGCCTCCCTGAGGTAATGTGGAAGCATGCTGCTGCTGAGAAGTGATTTCTAAGCAAGACTTGATTGCTACCATATATGTTTTAAATGTTGGCCAAAAATACATAGGCAAGCTAAAGAGGTGAGTGATAATTCCTGCAGCCTCAATAGTATATTTAAGAAGATATAACAAAATTATAAAAAGATCAAGAGTAGATTCTTGGTCATGTTAAAATAACCATAGTATTCACTAATAAGGCCAAAGTTTCTGCAGAGAGGGAAAATCAGGAGAGGGGAGAGGTTATAGCCGCATGTGTGGTGTGGGTCTGGACTCTCATTTAGTCATAATAAGACTGTGGTTCTTCCCAACCGTCTCAAGGGAAACTGCACCCTGCCCTGCATGTGCCAGAGCTCAGGGGCCCCAGGGAAGCAGCAAGGTGCTGACACCCCTGGGTGCCTTCGGCCCTGTCTCCCATCTCTGGTGCGTGTGCTGGAGATCAGACCATGCACAGAAACACAGCGGCCTGGGGGAAGCAGGTGACCAAGGCCACTCTGCTCCCATCTTCTGGTCTTGCGTACATCACCAATACACATTATAAAGTAACAGGCTGCAGCAGAGCACTGGGTTTTCAAGGCCTATTTTTAGGTAAAGAGGAGCCATCACTCCTGGTTGGTACATGGCCTGGTTGCTTCTCCAGTTAGTTGTATGCTTTGCTCCTTTGCTGTATTTTTGCCGGAAGCATGTTAAATCATGTTCTCCTTATAGACAGGACTTGGAATAACCACAGTCGTTTGCACCGCTGGGTAGACAGACAGGGAAGGGCATTTCAGTGAGTTCAGGTCCCCACACCCCATGAGGCTGGGCTGGGGGAGCAGAAAACATGGCCTGTGGGTCACAGAGCAGTGAAGATGGAGAACGAGAAGTCACAGTCCTGGGGCTTCTAGAAGAGATGCAGCGGACCCACTGGGAAGTTTCAAGTTTATTTGCATGTTGTGAGAAAGATCAAGAAGGAGCATTAAAAACCTCCAGAAACAGGGCAGGCAAGTTGCCACAGATGTGATACAGAAGGACTGCAGTTTGAAGGAAAGTGGTTGTAAAACTTGCAGAAAATACGTTTGAAAACATATACAAGCAGGTGGTTTTAATGACAGTGTATCCATCAGCTTTATGTTACTATAACAGAATACCCAAGACAGGATACTTTATAAAGAAAAGAGGTTTTGTTCACTCACAGTTCTGGAGGCTAGAAGTCAAAACCACAAGACACAAGATCTGATGGGTTTTCCTTTGTTTGTATCACACCTCATGTCTGTTTCTCTCTTTATAAAGCTACCAGGATTCAGTCATGGCGATTCCATCCTAATGGTTCTGTCTAAGCACTTCCTAAAGCCCCACCTCTAAACTCCATTGTTGGACAAAGCTTCTAACCTTTGAATACCATTAACATATGACTTTGGAGATTCTTGGTCACTTTCTTGTTGCTGAGACACAATACCTGACATCCCAGTTTAAAGCAAGATAGGTTTATTGTGGCTCACAGTTTGTTGAGGTTTCGATGCATAGTTGACCTGCACCAAGGTACAGGGGCTTGGAGGAGGACAGCTGCTCACAGCATGGTGGACAGGAAGCAGAGAAGGTCAGGGAGGCACTAGGGAGGAAGAGGCACCCTTCCAGGCCATGCCCCCGGTGACTGCCTCTTCTGATCAGACCCCGCCTCCTACAGCAGTCAGCTCTGAGAGCCCATCACAGTCACCACCTAGACACAGTTGTAACAGGGGTTAAACTGCATGAGTCTGAGGGGACCACATTCAATCTACAGCAGTCGGTTTTGCAGAATTCAATAGGGCTGGCCATCTTTCTCTTTCACTTAGCAGCAAGGACATGCAAGGACATGCAATGCAGCTTCCAAGCTGACCACATGACCAGCCTGGGATGTTCAAATGCGTGAAAGTCTGTCGATTCTTGGGAGGCTTCTCATGAATCTGGGTCCTGGAAACACTGTGTGGTTGCCCTGGGTGCCAGCTTGTCCTTCTTCCCGTCCTCCCTTCACCTCCGCATCCACTGTGGCCTCTGTCAGGCCCTGGTCCTATGGACAGTGACCAGGGGCTCTTGAACGCCTGCTCACTCCCCCAAGGGGAACCAAATCAGTCCCACGCGTGGTCACACCTGCAGGCCCTCGGTGCCCAGGAGGAGTGTCCTGGTGTGGCCTGCCTTCAGTATGGACCCAGGTGTGCACTGGCAGTGACTCCTGCCCACTGGCAAGAGGGGCCTCTGTGTCAGGCCGGGGGTCACAGGGGAGGGACACCCCCTTCTCTTGTGGCAATTTCTCCTCCTCCCCTTCCTTCCTGCACCGCACACTCTTTGCTCACTTTCCAGCTATAATTGGAGGGGTCTCTGCCTCATATGAGACTGTGAGTGTGGCAGAACTGATTTTTGAAGGTGCTCTACAAAGATAAGGATGACACAAATGTAATGCATTCTTGAAATTAAATTCTCTTGTGAGCCTTCTCTGTCAGCCTTATGGTTTCAGGTATCTCAGTCCCTTCTCCAGTGTGTGTTCCTTCCTTTTGAAAGCCCTGTTTCTGAAAAAGCTACCTTTTCAGGAAGCAGATCATTCACCTGCCCATCTGTCTCTCTATCCATCCATGTGTCCATCCATCCATCCATCTATCCATCCATCCATCCATGTATCCATCCATTCATATGTCCATCCATCCATCTATCCATGTATCCATCCATCCATCCACCCACCCACCCATCCATCCATCCATCTATCCATGTATCCATCCATCCATCCATCCATCCATATGTCCATGTATCCATCCATCTCTATGTACATCCATCCATCCATCCATCCATGTGTCCATCTATCCGTCCATCTCTGTGTACATCCATCCATCCATCCATCCATCCATGTGTCCATCTATCCGTCCATCTCTGTGTACATCCATCCATCCATCCATCCATCCATGAACCCACTCTCCAAGCAGACTCTCACTGAGCACAGGACTGCTGGTGATCTAAGGCTGTGGAGTGGGGGGACCCAAGAGGGAGCAGGGGTCAGCAAGAGGTCAGCAGAAGCTGCTAGGGCCATGAAGGCCAAGGATCTCAGTCTCAGGCAGTGGGAGGTGGGCAGAAGGGGGTGTGCACATGTGTGACTGCAGGAAGTGTGGGGATGGGTGGTGGCAGCAGAATCTGAAGAGACTTGGAGGTGAGAGGAGAATGGGGGTTTGAGCAACCAAGGGGCCAGGAGGCTGGAGCTGAGTGCAGGGTGGGGAGCAGTGGGCTGGCAGGTGGGGGAGAGGGAGAGGTTAGAAGGGAACCCATAGCCAAGGGTTTTCATAAAGAAACTTGACTTTTTCCTAGGAACCTTGGAAGACTTGAGGAGCTTTGAGAGGAAACGTGACATGATCACATGTGACTTTCAGAAATGTCACTTTGGCCTGCAGTCAGCGGGTGGATTAGAGAGGGCAGTGGTGCAGACAGGAAGTCACGGTGCTTAGACTCAGGCAGTGCCGGTAGGAAGGTGAGAAGCAGATAGATGGAAGAGGCAACAGGCAGAGTCAATAGGCACACAGAGCAGAACGATGCTGATAAAAGTCATCCCCGCCACCCTGATCCCTGACTTCCTTTGCTGGAAGGGACCCCTTCACTGACAGAAACTGAGAAAGAGGAGGAGGCCTGGCTGGGAGGAAGGGGGAGGAGGGTGCTTGGGGACATGCAGATGGAGTGTCTGGAAGCAGCTTGATTATGGCCAGGAGTTCAGGAGAGATGAGGGCTGGGCACAGAGGGGTGTCATGGTGCTCACACACCCTGGCTCATTCCCTCTGGGGAAAGTGCAGAGGGAAGCCCAGGCTGCAGAGAGGAGAGAGCTCCAAAGAACTCAACCTCAGAATAAGTGGTCCCAGGAGGATGGTTGGTGATGCTGTCCAGGCTTTCAGGAGGGAAGGCAGGGCATTCAGAGCTGCCCAGAGCTAAGGCCAGAAGCCACAGGCCCCTCTCTTCACTGTCCCAAAATATGGAACATGGATTTACAGATCCCAGGAGCCATGGGGACAGAGCCATCACTGAGGCTTCCCTTTGTAGCATCCTCTGGAAGTCTTTGCTGATCCCCTCCCCCTAGCTGGAAATGACCACCTTCTCTAAGCAGAGCCCAGGCACTGCTGAGCACTGGGGATTTAAAAAGACATGTAGACAGAGTCATATTATCTGTAAAATGTGCCTTCAAAGGCCTCCAGTGGCTCTAGTGTGTATGGTGAAGCCCTGTATAGACTTACGCTATGTTTTTTCCTATATATTCCCATGACAAAATTCAATTTATAAATTAAGCATAGTAAAGGACTAACAATTGACCAATAACAAAACAGAACAATTAATAGAATAAAAAATAGATCAAATAAAGACAACTTGAACCAAGTCACTATGATACTGTGACAGGGATCTGGTAACTAAGACAGCTACTGGGTGACTGACAGGAGGGTAGCATATACAGAGTGGATACCCCAGATGGAAGAATGATCATGTCTGGGTCAGGGGCAGCAGGAGAGGATGAGATTCTATCATGCTACTCAACATGGTGCATGATTTAAAAGTGAGGAATTGTTTACTTTGGAATTTTTTGTTTTCATACTTCCAGACCTGGTTGACCACAGGTTTGCAGAAAGCAAAACTATGGCTACAGGGGACTACTGCATGGTCCTTAAGAGGGCAGAACATTGACGTCTAAGGAAATGGGGGTTCAGTGCAGTGTTCCCTGCAGGTTCTGAGGACAGTACCTGGGTGAGGGGTTCAGGAGGAGGGGACATGGCTTAGAATAGAGGTGGGAAGGGGCCAGGCAGGGCCAGGCCTGCACCCAAATGGTTGGAAGTGGGAGGAACCACATTTCATATGGAGGTCAAGCATCAGAGCACGCGGTTAGAGAGGCTGAGGGCTCATCTGAGGAGCTGCAGGAACCAGGCTGGCCCCTAGGGAAGGGGAAGACAGTGAGGCCTTGAGGACAACTGCAAGTCTGGACTTCATCCTGTGGACCCGGGGAAGCCAGCTACAATGGTTCCTCCCTGGAAGCCTTGCTCTCTGTGTAAGCTTTCTCCCTCCTCCTCCTCCTCTTGTTCCTCCTCCTTCTTCTCTTCTTTCTCTTTCTCCTCTTCTTATTCTTTGTCTTCCTCCTCCTCCTCTTCTTCTCCATCTGTGGAATTATGGCTCCAGTTTCCTTGAAAGCAATTTACAAGTACAGTCCCATCTTCTTATCCGGTGACTGTTCTATAGGAACTAGTCTGGGGCCTGTCACTCCAGTGCTTTTCATGTGGATGAAAGTGTGACTACGCCTCTGTGGCCTGTGAGAGCCCAGCATGGAGGCAAAAAGCTCAGCCCAAACCCCTGAGCTGATGCTGCCGTGTTTCCTCAGGTGTGTGCGGTATGGTCCTGATTCTCCCAGTCTCAGGGCAGCTACCTTTGTTTATGTCACCGCTTGTGAACTGCACACTTCCCAAGAGAAGCAGCATGAGATGAGGCTCCTTGAAGCCCGGAGAGGCAGAGACTGTCCACTCTTGGGTGGCACAGAGGAGCAGCTGTGGAATTTTATTTGCTATTTCTAGGTTTTACACTGTAATTTCGAATTACAAATACAGGTTATGTCACCAAGCATACTCTGTATGCAGCACACATTTTCTGCATTGTGCTAGGCACTGAATCAAGGGCAGAGTCACCAAACGGATGATGGCATAGTCCCTGTCCTCACGCAATGGACATGGAGGGACAGAGCCTGAAGAACAGCCCTTCAGACCATGCAGGAAGGATGGAGAGGAAAGAGTGGTGCATTCTGCCTGTCGGAAACTGAAAGGCTGACAGCAGAAAGTGCAGGCAGTGGACGCACCACTGGCCTCAGGTGGGCCGGGGAGCTTCACAAACATCGGCGGTCCCTGGCACCATCTCTGCCCCACAGTGAGAAGCTCTGAGACAGGGAATGTCAGAAACAGCAATTTTTCAGAACTTCTGGGGTTTTCTAATTTCAGAGCCTGCATTTTAAGAGCTGCCTAGGATTTCAGTGGATGCAAGAGAAGTGGAAGGGGAGGCAAGGACATGAAGATGGAGATGTGCCCGTGACTGGGCAGGGTTGAGGAGTCCTGGACACCCAGGAGGACCATCGGACAGTGAGTCCCGAACTTTCACCGTGGAAGTGGAAAAACATGTGCATGTTTGGCTCACTTTCCAGAATTCCAGTCTCTTGGTGGGAGGGAGCACATGCTCGGAAATGAGGGCAATGGATCCCACAGCTGGGCAGAATCAAGCGGGTCTGGAGCCAAGCCCCACACTGAGGCCCCAGGGCTGTGTTCTGAGATCTTAATTCTAGTCTAGACAGAAAACACTGGAAGCTTCTAGAAGGATGATTGCTGCTGACTGGTTACTACAGATCCCGTGGCACCCACAGTGTCCAGAAATGAGCGGCACCAGCAGTACTGGGATTGGTGAAGGGACTCTGACAGTTCTGATGCGGCACTGAGTTCTGAGAGCCAGCTGGATCTGTCCTCCTGCCAACACATCTCTTCCTTGTATCTGAGCAGGGGCAGCTATTCGTAGAGGACTGGGTGACTTCTCAGGAATGTCAGTCCAATAACACACCTGCGCCAGGAAAGATTTAAGGTTTAGGAAAAAACCAAGCACAAAGATTTTGATTAGTACAAGTATTAAAGAGCCAAAGCAGCAAGGATTTCAGTAAAGTTGCCTAAAGGGATACAAGTTAATGTGACTTAACAACTTCTCAGGGACCCCAAACTCAATGTGCTGGTATTCTGAAAGGGATGTGAAGGCAGTTGACAGAAATTTTTTGATATCATCTCTTAGGATGGATAACTCACACATTTCAGATCACCAACATTGAATAGAATAGGTTTATAGGACTCAAGTCTTTTCCTAAGGAAATAAAATGTAATACATAGGTATTAACCTTAAGTTTTGATTAGAATTATTATTCACAGTATATGTTTTCAGTTACAGATTTTAAAGTTATTATTGTTATTGCTTTATTATTATTATTATTAGTAGTAGTAGTAGTAGAAGCAGTACTGGGGATTGAACTCGGGGTCTTTACACTGAGCCATATGCCCTGTTTTATTTTTTATTTTGAGACAGTGTCTCACTAAGTGGCCCAAGCTGGCCTTGAACTTGTGATCTTCCTGCCTCAGCCTCCTGGAGTACTGCGATACCAGACATGACTCCCATGCCCGGTATTTTATACCTTTGAAATAAACCTCTCTAAGTGTCTCAGGCTGATGGAGCAGAGGTCCAGGAAGGCAGCTCTGTCTTGTAAGATTACATGGACTCAGTACTGGCGGGTGAGTATGAGGGACTCTGGCCCAGCACGAAGGCAGCAGGACTGGTGCTTCATGCAGATGGCAGGGAAAGAAGTCTTCCAGTGGACACGCTGGTCTCAATCTCAACAGTTCCTTACAGCTTAGCAAAGACAAGTGATAAGTTATATATTACCCTGTCGCTTAGAAACGTCCCTCGACTTGATCCAGGACAAACTTGCAATTTTAATCATATTCAAAAAATTTTCTTCATGCATCTTCAGGTACATTCATTCAAGGAGCATTATGAAAGTGCATTTAAATTCACTCAAATGACAAACAGCTATTACCTGCTGAGCACCTTCTAGGTGCCTTGCTTCATATGTGTGCCATTTAAATCACTCTCTTTAACCTTTGCTGCAGTTTCTCGAAGAGCGGTGTTATCATCGCCACTTTTGTAGAGAAGGAAGTTAAAGTACAGAGAACTCAGGTTAATTTATCTACGATGAGAAAACTAATTAGTGGCAAAGCTTAGTCCAAAGCTGGATCTTATGTTGGCTACTTTCACAGAACACCAACTCAAGTCTTCCAAAGTTAGCAGCTTCCTTTTCTGTGCTCATCTGAATCTCATGTATATTCCCTCACTGTGCCTCTGGTGGATAATTAATTCAGGAGTCCTTGAGGGCAGGTGCTTGTCTTCTTTCCCATCTCTGCATTCCCAGCAACTCTTATTCCTGAAGTGACCGCTGTATGCTGGATACTAAGGCACTGTAGATACAGAGATCAACAGGGGGACAGGGCTCCTGCACCTACAGAGTGCTCATCCCACAGGGGAAGTGGACACTTGGGGAAGGAATTGAAGTAGAGAATTATGGCTGCTCTGGGGGGGGACAGGTGGGGATTATAGGGCTTAGGACATTAAAAAATGGGAATCCCTACCCTAGTGTGAGCGAAGAGGGAAGGAAGCTAGTGGTGTAGGACTAAAGAGGAAGGAGATTTCCAAGGGGAGGCGTGAGGTACTGGGTGCAGGAGGAGGAGTGGAAAGAGGGTCTGTGTACAAAGGCAGGAGGTGAGAGGACAGCTGAGAAGGCAGGCAGTGGAGAGAGATGGGGCTGCACATGAAGAAGAACCGGAGCATGGGGATGCTGCAAAGCTCTGATGTGGCTTTGGGGGCCTCCATGGAAGCCATGCAGCTCCGAGTGGCATGGTTGCATCTGGAAGCTCACTTCAAAGGGCAAAGGTGAGTGTGGAATGTAGGGAGGAAGCAAAGGGCCAAGAGGGATAGGAAGGAAAATGACATTGTCTCATAGTCCCGTGGCCTGGACTAGGTCACAGTGGCACAGACAGTGAGGAGATGTTGGAGGCAGAGTTAGAATCAGTAGGTTGGTTTTCTAATTAGATATGGGAGATTAGTGAAGAAGAGGAATCCGGGTGATCCTAGGTTCCTGGCTTGGGCAAACGGATACAGTGGAGGCATTTTCTGGTTTAGGTGAATCAGTCAGTTTACTCAGCAGTGTGTATGTGCTCATCAAGTGGATGCAGGTCAAAGGTGGATTGTGTATGAGCTGGCAAGAGAACACTGGAAGTCATCAGCCATGATATCACTCAGAGATTAACAGACAAGAAAGTGCCATGGAATAATGTTGGAAGTCAGGGCAGGGGGTGGGGGTAGGTGGGCAAAGAAACTCAAGACAAGAGGAGAGAACAGAGGAAAGCAAACCAAGGGGAAGACACCGACTCAAATGTAGGGAACAGGTAAGGGGACATTACCCCTGCAGTGAATCCTGGTCTCCTGTGAGCCACTACAACACAAAGTGAATTAAAGAATAAAGACAGGAAATGAGACTTGGAGAAAAAGCTGAGCTGTGGGCCTGATCAGTGCTACTCTGGACAGCAAAGACAGAGGCAACCCAAGCTTGCCACTATTTACTGGGATCATAGGGAGTATCAGATGACTCAGAAGGCACCAATAATCCTAAATTGGCAAGGATCTTATAATCAGAGGAAGTATCAGATGACTCAGAGGGTGGTGGTAATTCTATGGCCATGAGGATCTTATGTTGATGAGGATTTTAGGTTGATTAAAACCATGAGATGAGCAAAAATATTCTTACAACAGTAGGTGGGATGCGTTAAACTGATAAGGAATTTGTCTCTCCCTAGGTGAAACGTTTCTACTTGGTTCTCAAAGACCCAGGACGTCTTCAGCTGATGTAATCTTGCCCTTGAGCATCACAGCATCCCAGGATTGTTGAGGCCTCAGAGAGCCCTAATCGTAATTTAATTGTGAAATGATTTTTCCCCAAAATTATGTAGAATGGCTCCCAACACTCAGAAGCCACAGGGAAGACTTCATGAAGGTGGGGCCCATCATACAGGCCAAGGGGAGCCCTGAAATGGTTCCCTGGCTTTTGCAGCGAGAGGCTGGTGTCCCCCTGAGAGCAGTGCCAGGCCACAAGGACAGTAGGCATCAACTGGACAGGGCCGAGGAGCAGGGGAGGGCCTGTTTAGTGGCGAAGGCACATCTTGCACCTGAGTCTCCTCATTGCAATCTGGTGCATCATGGAGCTATGTTTTTCTATTTTCACTTTATTTCCATGTAGCCTTGGGAGACACTGCTAACAGGTGGATCTCCAGGGTAGCGTCAAGCTTGGTGAAGTAACTGAGAAATGAATGGATGGAGACAGAGACTAGACCATGAGTCACTCTCTGCTGGAAAGTGCCATGATGCCCCGTGCCCAGTCACTTTGGCCTCCTACCCAGATGCCCTCTGGTGGGGGCACGGCTTTCATGGAAGCCCTGGGGAATGACTGCAGGGCACGATTCAGACTATCTGAGTGGTGCCCAAAGTGGGGACACTGACCTCAGGCGTATTCAGTGGACTAATGGAGGGAGGCTGAGAAGCTGAGGAGCCAAGCCATTCTCAGCCACTGGGGTCTTGGCTGTCTGTGAAATTTGCCTCTCCATTTGCTGCCCCCTCCTCCCCTCCTCCTCCCCGTCCTGTTCTTCTCTCTTTCTCTCTCAGCCTCACACCCTCTCCACAAACCTGACCCCAACATGCACTCCCAAAGCATCCTCGAGGGGGCTCATTGTGGTGGGATGGGGTGCCTTCGCACCCTAAGTTTAAGTTTGGTTCATATCTCAGACGGAGCTTCTAAACCCGTGAGCTCGTTCCTAACAGACATTTTCTCTCTGGATTTTTGATAGGAAAATTGACAACTCAGCTCTCCCAAGCTGGCCTCATTCTCTCCCCCAGGAAATTTATTCCTCGCCAGGCATTTCTTAGTGTTGGTTTACGACACTGGCATGCACCTGGCTGCCAGAGTCCCTGCATTGCCTCACCCCCACTATGACTGGTAACTGGGGCCCAGCAATCCTTCCTCTGTGGTAGCTCTGGAGCTACACCTCCCTGTCCACACCTCTGTCCTTCTGCAGGCCTCATTTCCTCTCTCCTGGACCACAGGGAAGGCTCCTGCCCTGCACCTTCACTTCTGGTCTTGCTGTCATGCATTATGTTCTCTGTGATGCTCTTAAACTCTCTTTTTTAATGTCAGAAACACAAAGCTGATCATGTACCTCATGGACAAGACTCTCAGAGCCTTGCTACTACCCACAGATTATAGTGGATGCTCTAATTTAGCACCACTCAAAGGGGACTTAAAAATGGGTTTTTGTTAGACATGGTGGCATGCACTTTCAGCCTCAACACTTGGGAGACAGACGCAGGAGGATCCCTGGAGGCCAGGGGTTTTAGAGCAGCCTGGGCAAGCTATCTCTTGTCTCAAACTAAAACCAAACCCTAAACTCTGCTGTGGGTAGCCTCCTAATCTCCCATGAGCCATGCACCATGCTACTGGTTGTACATGGATTATCACACCTAATCCCAGGAACATTTCTGTAAGGTGGGTATTTTAATTTTTTTTGTTGTTGTTTTACAATAATTAAGGCACCAAGAGATTGGGAGCTGGGAGTCAAACCCAGCATTGCGCTAGTTCAAGACTCCTTACTTCCTTCCTGTTTCTGTATCACCAAGTGTCCTGACCACATGCCCAGGGAGAAGTCCTGAGGCCCTGAGCACTGGACACGGCTGGCCTGCAGCCACGACTCTCACCACCCTCCCTGTCTTGGCAGTGGCTTCGAGCAAAAGTCTTGGTCTCCTTCCACCTCCAGTGAATCACAGGATTCTGGGGGGACAGAAAGGTCACCGACCCAAAACCTTAGGGTCGTCTGTGCCCAGCTGGTGGTCAGAGCTCAACACAGACGAGCCCACTTGCTTGGCTCCAGCTCCTGTTCATTTCCAGGGGCTGTACTAAGGGTTCAAGACAAATCATT